GTTCCTAATATAATATCATCGTACTTTTCTTATAGTGCACGGAGCGCGGTGATATCTCGGGTATCATTTAAGTCCGTAATCGAGGCTGAATTCTGTCTGTTTAATCCATAATGCTAGACAAAATTGGCAAGTCAGAACACATTCTCATATGTCACTTTTGAAAGTCACTTTCCTCTCATTTTTAAGAAATGCATTATTACATTCCAGTGTTGGGTGTGACGACATTCGCATATAGAACACACCTGAATATGAATTTCGTTTTTTTTTTTGGCTGTAAAATTTCAGAACAATGATTATTTATCTTCGATATTTCATTTGGACAGGGATTTCTAAAAGTGTAAAACAGGTGTGTCAACATTTAACATTTTCTGGCCAACATTGCCAATTAAAGTATTTTTTATATTGTAAATAACTTCGTTTCAGCCAATAAAGTTCGGAATTAATGTATAGGAAGTAAGATGTCCTTATCCAAGTTAATCTATAATCTATACCAATTAGGAGAACTCTGACAGTACATGGTAAAATAAACATCATTAACGTGGCCTTTCACAAAGAAAATCTAACATAAATGCATACTATGTATGTTTGTAAGTAGGACAGCTCCTCCGGGTATCGCTAGAAGTAGTTATAATCATTCATTGATTCCAGACATGTACGTGTATGGGTTTGTAGACCTTGCTCTTACACCATTCATAGCTGTACGTTATCAGTTACATAGAATGACATGCTGACGTTGGAATAATTGTAAACGCTGTAGTCAGTGCTGTTCATTCCATTTGATTAAAACATTTGGTAGATTTAATAATCATGATACCAAATTGTGTTTGATGAAGGACATTTTGATTCAAAACATGTACAGTAGAACGCCACATATCCGAACTTTTAGTGATATATCGGAACTCCATATTCAGCGCGACTCGTCCTTCGGATGATTAGACGTAGAAGGGGGAAAATCGTACACTTTACATGTCAATATCTCATTGTAAGGCCGGCCGATTTTGATGCCGTTTTCAATTTTTTTTTTTTTTAAATTTTGGGCCATGAAAAATAATACTACATTCATACCTATTTTCACTCAAGGTACACTTTAACGATGTTTGATGAAGTCTTACGACAATTTCAGGGCATGATATATAGTGAATCATATACCTGATTCAGACCAATCCAAGTGAGAGATCTCGAACGGATAACCGAGGAGCCGGTGAAACACAAAATTCTAAAAACACCTCTATCACTTCTACTCGGAACGCTGATAACATAGATGAAAGCCGACGTTACACGTGTCAACCAACCAACTCGCCTGTGCACGTCACCAGAACACTGACTTTCGTCTGTGAAACAACACCTACGGAAAGCTTGTAACTAGCCAACCAACTCGCCTGTGCACGTCACAGAACACTGACTTTCGTCTGTGAAACAACACCTACGGAAAGCTTGTAACTAGCCAACCAACTCGCCTGTGCATGTCACCAGAACACTGACTTTCGTCTGTGAAACAACACCTGCGGAAAGCTTGTAACTAGCCAACCAGCTCGTTCAAAGTTTATTATGCTGAATATCACAGTCTGTCAGAAGATTGTACAAAAGCCACACGAATCAATAACACGTTTAAATACAAATTTAGAGTTAGAAACACAAGAGCAAAATAATGAATCATAAAGGCATCTTGCTGGTGTATCATCCTTGTAAGAAGATTTGAAAAATTGAAGGAAATCTAACGTGATCGAAAGAAAAGTCATAATCTAGACCAAAACGTACATTAGTCCTATAAAGTGATCGAAAGATCATAATATAAAGGGGGACCTTTATTAACCAATACCGTGATCCTCTCAATTGCATTTGTAGATGTTTATGTAGCTTTATATCGTTACAAATCAAATTTCAGTTATAATTCATTGTAGAACTATTTATGAGCGGTATTGAAAATAATACGCACATATGGACTAGAATGTTCATCACTGGATCATGTCTGCAGTTACAGACTCCATCGGCGTGGTCTGGCGCCCAATTTTAATGACGAGGAGTGCTGACAAAGGGGTTATCCCATGGGTCAACTGTTGGCCCACAATTTGTTGACATTTTTATCCATGCTATTTTTTATCACATTGAACAAGAGATCCTAGAGGGATCTTGACGCCCGCCATTTTTTGATCTTGATTTGCTGTTCATTTCTCTTCTCTGTTTTTGCTCTTAATGATAAGAAATTTGAATATTCCTTTGCAGAAATAGTAATGATAATCTTGACCTGCCGAATCCAAAATGGTCGTCTGGAAGCTATTATTTTTCATTTGATCCGTCCAAAAATCAAAAAGACACAACCAGGGACCAAGAGGAAACTATACATGAAATTTGAGGAAGATCGATGCTGTATTTCTCAATAAATAGTTCTAACAAACATTCGAAGGCAAAATCCAAGATGGCCACCTATGGGCCTTTTCCTGATCATTACCAAAATCACATGGGCACAACTAGGGACCAAAGAAAGCATACACATGGAATTTGAGAAAGATCTATGCTGCAGTTCTCAGGAAATAGTGATAACAGATTTTCAAAGTCAAAATCCATAATGTCCACCTGTCAGCCATTTTGTTTTTCTGATCAGTCCCAAAATTAGACGGACACAACTACAGACCAGAGGAAACCTATATATGAAATTTGAGAGAGATCCATCAAGTCCTTTTCAAGAAATAGCATAACAAACTCCATTGAAAAAATCCAAGATGGCCGCCTGTCAGCCTTTTCAGCCTCTACATATGAAATCTGAGAAAGATCCATTCAGCACTTCTCAAGACATAGCGATAACCATTTTTTTTAACAAACGGACGAACGGATGGACCACGGATGTAGGGCGATTTGAATAGCCCATCATCTGATGATGGTGGGCTAAAAATGTAACCAATGCAAGTATGTAATGACAATGTCAGTCTGTCAAATACACCAGAAAATGAGAGTCAGAACTTAGTAAATTGGTATAACTGTAATAAGATGCAAGCGAATCCAAATAAATTTCAACCTTTCTTTTTAATCAAATTATTCCTTCTTTTAAAATTTGCAATCACAATATTAAAAGAGAGACTTCTATTAAACTTTTAGGTGTTGGTACTGACTTTTAATTCTAATTTGGATTTACAATGTACATATATCAAACATGTTTGCAGACAAGCTTCCAAGCAACTTAAAACCAAAAACAAATTGACTGTTACCTCGCCATGAAATGCAAAATGACCCATTTTTAAATCTTTTATTTTTATCAGATTTTATACCTACTGCCCTCTAGCATGGCACTATGAAAACTTTAGGAAATTGCAGAAGATACAGGAAAAGCAAGTCAGATTTATAGTGAATGATTTGACTACTTTCATTATTCTTTTAGAAAGAAATAATTGCCCTTTCCTTCATGTCACATGCCTAATATGATTGTTGAAGTTGTTAAGATTTTACATGGATCATTTCTCGGTATATATCCCATTTAGTGAACTTAAAATTTCAAATTACAATTTTTGGTGCAACCTTACCTCTACTATTTTGCAAGTCATGATCACTAGGTTTGGTAAGATATTCTTTCAATTTGATGCAACATTGGAGTGGAAAGTATACCTAATGAGATAAGGAAACCTTTCCTGGTCTACAAGCTATCAGACGGGAGCCTGGGCAGCAAGCCTTACAATAAACCAAATAACCCTTTCTTCTATATACATTCTACCATATGTTTGGATGAACATTTTCCTTCAGACACTGCCAAAAACTAATTAACTGTCATGGAAATATTGAGTGATGTGAACATTTATAACTTTGATGGAATATTGAGTACTAAATAACAGTGATGGAAATATTATCTGATTGTTATCAGATAGCTATCATATATTCATAGAGAGGACACAAACTTTATAACTGTTGAAATCAATAGTACTACAGATTAACTGAACGCGCAATTGTATTACGTCATAATCATCATTGTACTTATTTGTTATGAAGCCACATTTTTAGTACCTTAGGGGCAAGAAAACATTAAAGGTTTGTCCTGATGAAGCCCAACAGGGTGAAACCGGTTGACGAACACCTCATAAAAATTGAAGACCCTACACTCCTAGGCTGTTGTGATTGATATGTTTTATTGATTTGCTCTATTGATCCATCACCCTGCATATCTTTGGGTATCAAGCTGAGGAGTGAAGGAACACCCCACCCACCCAACCAGCAAGTAAGGCGTTGGCTCTACCATCTGAACTCTTATTTTTCCCGTAAAATTCTGCCTATTTTTTGTGCTTGTAAAACTTTTATATTGCCATTTCTAAAAGACTTTCACCAAGGTTGCATCGTAATTTTAGAATTTGCTATATTTGCATGCATCCTGTTAAGTTTTTTGCAATATTGATGCATAGATGCAAGTTTCTCTAGTTTTACTATATAATATATTCACTACATAAGCATTATTGTAACATAACTTTTAAAAAATGTGTTATTGTACTATTTCTTCAGCTCACTGTGGTGGATGATTTCATTGCGACATTTTGTTGTATATATTGTATTGGTGTTAATAGTCATCAGAATGGCTTTACTGAGCTAACTGTTCAAAACTTCTTCCTAGGGGACATGTGTATTAGTCATCAGTCATTCATTATTCTTTTAATATAATTTATCACAATCAGACATAGCTATCATCCTAGACACTTCTGTACCTCCACTCACAATTCTAGCTGGTGATTGTCATTGGTCAAAATATTTGTGATTTACTTTTTCATGTCATATCTTACAAATTAAAATTTTGCAGTCTGGATGTAAAAGGATATCACACATCTCATTATTTCATAGATTAAATCTTTATGATCACGATAACATAGCAAAAGTATCACCTTCGTGAAAATGTTTGGCTACACTGTATATAAATTTTTATATTTCACATTTTTTATTTTTACATTAACATAAAAAAAAAGGGTACAAAGAACTTGATGGTTCATCCACGTGTCATCTAACAAGACACAGGTAACACAAAACTCAAATTTAAAAATTCCACACTTTATTCACCCTTTGTCCTCACAATATCTGTATCAACATATAGTCCTCCATCTTGTGAATGTCTTCTGTGTAAGATATCTTGCCGTTTCTCCGTAAAAGAGTTGTCGTGTCCTTTTATATGGGACCTTGATGTAACTGATGTGACTGTTTGTTCACCATCTGATTGCACGTTTGTTCCAGAGTCTGTAATATCTACTGTTGACATACCCATATGTCTTTTGCCAGATGAAACCGTGTTCTTAACCTTTCTTGTTTTCGTTTGTAATTTTTTTGGATTAATCCCATAGAGCTTGGTTAGGAGAAGCACATCCTCTCCTCGACCTTCAAGGTGCCATGTCAACATTTGGAGAGCTTTCCTCACACCCTCCTGGACACCAGGTATTTCGTCTTGTGAGAAGTTATTCAACACATATCCTAACACTTGATCCCTGCTGCTGGGTCTTCCTATCCCAACACGTACTTTGAAAATCTTCAACAAAGAAAAAAACAAAACAAAAAATCTTAAGAATTGAATACCAGAAGAAAGATTTAGAGATTTCCTTTTATAGTAAACAAAAACACATGTCTCATCCTTATCATGTATGCCTTTTGTAAAACAAATTTATTGCTTTTTAAGAGGTGGGTCTGAAAATACAAAAATTTGAAGACATTAATAAATACTTCTAAATAGAAACTCACAGAACTGTTTAACAATTAAATCATTTGACCTTGTTTTCATGTCAATATTCTGCAACCATAGTACATTTTAATGCAATCAAGTGACTGTTTGCTTCACCATTGCAAACCAATTCAAAGATATTTTAATTCATCTGACACTTCAGTTTTTGGTCAACCTTCAGCTGTTTTTGACTTTTGACATGATGACCTTGACTTCTGATTAAATACTTCTTAGTTTTGTCTAAAATAACTATAGATCTTACCCTTAAATCAGCTTATTTACATTTGATTTTTGTCAACTTTGCCATATGTTAATATTATAAAAAACATATTTAACTGGAGGATTAGGTATTACTTTTGGTACTTTTGACCTTTGACCATGAGGTCAGGGTCACAATGATATATACTTGTTATTCACTTGGAATAATTCTAGATTTGTTAATAGTATGAGAGGATGATTTTGATAGGTATGCGTTGATTGGAATTTAACCTTTGTCTTGTATAACTGTATGTAAAGAATAACACTTAAAACAGGTACTTACATTTGTGTCAGATTTCAATGAATTTTGAACTGATCTGACGCCATTGTGACCACTGAAATATAAGAAATTAAGAATTCTTATTATCTTAAGAAATCAATGTGTTGCCAAGAAAGAATTTGTTTATCCCTGTTGTCTGGAATTTACAAGAAAATTAAATATTAATGTACCATAACTTAGAAAAGCAAAGGGTCTCACAGGTAAATGTTTTCATGTACATGTGAAATCCAGACATTTGCAATTATATATTACTGTATTTATTTTACCACAGGATAAGACCCTACCTTGGACTCAAAAGTAAATGTAAGAGTATTAGTGTATATTGGGCTTCTTATAGGACAATGAAATAAAATTTGTTAGTCTTATTACCAGACATGCATGAATGATATGCATTTTTTTATGAAAGGAGGCAGTAACTAGGCAAAGACATAGATATTAGACTAGACAATAGCAGTCCTTAATCGTACGACATGAACTCTCAATATAGTGATACAAGGGAAGTAATTTCAATAACGTGTAGTGTGGATATCACTTTTGTTGAGTTTTGACTGATTAGAACATCGCTTTTCATTTACTGCTGAATACAAGCATTCCTTTCGACAATTTTTTATTACTATTAGTACATAGCAAGTTTTCTTTAAAACCTTTATTTATCATAAAAACAGTTTTGAAAACAATTCTTAGCAGAGAACAGCATAAAACAACAGAATATTGCATAAAGCAGCACATCATCACAATGGTGCCATCTTTTTGTCAGGCATTATGTCATTTTTTCTGACATTCAAGAATATACTTAATTCTGTGTTCTTTTGCACCCAGATTTGTTTTATGATTGGCTCAATTGTTTGCCATCTTTGTTTTTAGCCTTTAAATATTGCTAGGAAAAATCAACAAACAGACATACAAAACTCAATATAATAAGCTGAAATGAATATAATTTAGGAAGAGTCAAATTCTGTTAAAAAAAAAAGAAAAAAAATAATTGAATAAATTATTGCACATAAACCTCTTCTTCATAAAATAACATATAAAGGTGTACATTTATTCAAATAATTGGTGTAAGGCTTTAAGCTCATCAAGCTATGGATGTAAGTGTATAGTATGTATCATGAAACACTAACACAGTATTTTCTTTCCTGTGGATAATTTGAATGGTAGATTTAAAAAGAAGCACCTGCCCGAGTGTCTATTCCATATCTAACATCTTAACAGTTACTGATCTACTACAGATTAATTAGACCATTAAAATTCACCACAAGTAGTTTAACTGCCTATACAATTTTGAAATTTTCAATCAACTTCCATTGACTGTAATCAATGTAAATCTAGATTGAATTTCTTAAATTCTAGGATCATTTTGTGTACCCTGTTATGTTCTAAATACCGATACATCTAACTTTTATTTTAATTATACTTTTTCTTATCTAAGTTGATTTTAACCTTAATCACTATAATTACACATTTGGTATTTGTTTTGTAAGAAAAAAGTTGTGACTTACCCAGCACTGCCACCTTCTTTAATGGTGACCTTGCTTAATGCCTTATCAAGGTCATCATGGATGATGTAAACCTTACTAATGTCGATTCCGTGATGATGAACTGCAAAACAGGTAAAAACAAGTTAAAAAATAATTTTCATTTATGTATACCTAGTATTCATAATATCATGTGGAAATAAATTTTGACTTGGGTAGCATACATTTTTCAACACAAAGACAATCCTTAATGTCCGTTATTTAATAATGTCACAAGAGAGCTAATACATTAGCAGCTTTAGTAGGTGGTAAACACTGGTATTGAACATTTAGTCTCCAACATTTGCCATAACCTGCATGTCATATTTTAATTCATTCGAATAGAGCCTCATTTCATAATATATGCATATGTTTGACATAGTTCTAAAATTATCTGATATATAAATATTACGAAATTTATTTAATAATGGACCTAACTGACAAGCCCTTGAAGAACAAAACAGCTGTATGATGCAGTTTAATTCATAACTATATCTAAATCTAAATTTGTATTAAAATATGCTATTCACTTGTGTGTCTTCACAACAATGATGCTAATTCAAAACATTATGTATTTCATATTTAATGACTTACAAGATCCTCAACTTACCCGTTTTAGCTACTGATTTACCATTAACGTTCATGAATTGTTTCGGCTTTAACATTATAACTTGGGCCGATTTATTTAAGTCAAATGTGGCAGTAAAGCCAGCACAGTTGTTATCTTTGGTCCATTTTAAATCTAGGTCTGTAGCCATACAGTCCAATACTCGTGAACCCACACTGTGTCTTGTCAAAGGCATTCCATGATTACATAAACCCACAATCTGTAATACAGAAAGGATACATGTTATTTATATTTCATATTATGAAACCTACTTATAAACATTTATAATGGGGGCAACTTAATGATAATTATATACAAAAAAGGAAGATTTGAAATATAGTTTTACAGGATATACTTTTTTATAAAAAAAATACTCATGACCAAGACATAATTAATAATCAAACAAATGATCAAAGTATATAAGTAATAGATAAAAAACTTCTCCAATAATTTCATCAACTACAGTTTAATATATGACTACAGTACACAATGTTGGCAATGCTGCAGCTATTTACTATGTAATTGAAAATTTGTCCATAAAAAATCTAAGGATCTGTGCCATTCAGATTTACTGGTAGCAGCTAACATTTACAAAACAACTGTTGTACATACAGTACATTTCTGTCAATATCAGTGGTCTTTTTGATACAAAAAAATAAACTAGATAGCAGCATGAATGCAAGTTGTTTCAGTAACAAGCCCTTTTGGTTACAAATTGTTTTGGTAACAAGTCGTTTCAGAGACAATCCCTTTTAGTTACAAATTGTTTTGGTAACAAGTCGTTTCAGTAACAAGCCCTTTTGGGTACAAATTGTTTTGGTAACAAGTCGTTTCAGAGACAATCCCTTTTGGTTACAAATTGTTTTGGTAACAAGTCGTTTCAGTAACAAGCCCTTTTGGTTACAAATTGTTTTGGTAACAAGTTGTTTCAGTAACAAGCCCTTTTGGTTACAAATTGTTTTGGTAACAAGTCATTTCAGAGACAATCCCTTTTGGTTACAAATTGTTTTGGTAACAAGTCGTTTCAGTAACAAGCCCTTTTGGTTACAAATTGTTTTGGTAACAAGTTGTTTCAGTGACAAGCCCTTTTGGTTACAAATTGTTTTGGTAACAAGTCGTTTCAGAGACAATCCCTTTTAGTTACAAATTGTTTTGGTAACAAGTTGTTTCAGTAACAAGCCCTTTTGGGTACAAATTGTTTTGGTAACAAGTCGTTTCAGAGACAATCCCTTTTGGTTACAAATTGTTTTGGTAACAAGTCGTTTCAGTAACAAGCCCTTTTGGGTACAAATTGTTTTGTTAACAAGTGGTTTCAGAGACAATCCCTTTTGGTTACAAATTGTTTTGGTAACAAGTCGTTTCAGTAACAAGCCCTTTTGGTTACAAATTGTTTTGGTAACAAGTTGTTTCAGTAACAAGCCCTTTTGGTTACAAATTGTTTTGGTAACAAGTGGTTTCAGAGACAATCCCTTTTAGTTACAAATTGTTTTGGTAACAAGTCGTTTCAGTAACAAGCCCTTTTGGTTACAAATTGTTTTGGTAACAAGTTGTTTCAGTAACAAGCCCTTTTGTTTACAAATTGTTTTGGTAACAAGTCGTTTCAGAGACAATCCCTTTTGGTTACAAATTGTTTTGGTAACAAGTCGTTTCAGTAACAAGCCCTTTTGGGTACAAATTGTTTTGGCAACAAGTGGTTTCAGAGACAATCCCTTTTGGTTACAAATTGTTTTGGTAACAAGTCGTTTCAGTAACAAGCCCTTTTGGTTACAAATTGTTTTGGCAACAAGTCGTTTCAGTAAAAAGTCCTTTTGGCAACAAGGCATTTTGGTAACAAGATGTTTTAGGAGTCCCAAATCATGTGTAAAGGAAAAGTTTCATCTCATTCAAAGTCTCTGACACTGTTCATGTTATATCAGTCTACCATAACAAGTATCTGTAATTATTAAAATCGATGACAAATGTTCAATTTTGTTAAACTGTTTTCTTACAACTGAATTACTAAAAAAAAATCTTTCTGTCCCAAAACAACTTGAATAAAGTACCGTCAAAACATCTCTTGTCTTTGTCCAGAAACAACTTGTTATGGAGAAAACCTAACACTGTCAGAAAAGTTTTTCATTTTTGTTTTGTTTTTTTGTAAGTTTGGACTGGAATATAAATTATAAGTTGTAGGGGACAGTTAAACAAGTTTTGAATGAATCTTTTGTGGAGCAGGAGACATCATCTGGGGGAAGTTTATCAATCACCTTGATCTGTTGATCACACTTAAATTGTAAACCTGATATATGTTATCACTGAATTCATTAACTAGGTTGTATAAACACGAGCTGTCAAAACTTTGAACTTTAATCCTTACCAGGTACTTATGAACTTCGGCATTGCCAATCGAATTATTCGCCATTGACGTTGTTTTGAGTGCTTTTCCTCTTGCCATTTCGTATCCAATATCATATTCTGTATTTGATAAAATACTTCTTCCGATGTTAGACCTTGTGACAGCTTTAAACAAATAAGATATTAATCTGATAGACGAACCCATGCTGTATTTATAACGGCATCATTTCACAACCAGAGGGCATCCCCGTAATAGTGGTGCAATCCCATACGTCATCACTGTGTATTCATTGGATAATATTTTACTTCCGCTACTAAAAATACCATTCCAGAGTTCACAATGGCTTCCGCTGCAGGACTTCTAGCCGGTCGCCTGGCCCTTGTAACTGGTATTATTTGCTTGTGATTTGATTCTTTTAACCAAACAATACTGTGACATTTGTTTAAACATGTATTTAAACATCTATTTTTTCACCCAATGGCGCCACTCACACTAACTGATGGTAGTTTCTGATTTCTACAGGGAATCTATGTGCAGATCCAAAGGTTATTTTTTTAAACACAAACTGGCAAGGAACAGTTCAAAGGAACAGATTTTATTTTGCCAGAGATATACATTGAGAAAATATTTTCAGTCTTAACATGAAGAATTGCACGTATATTTTTAGACTTTAATTGTCCTCCACTGGAATTAGAATTGTAAAAGTGCAGTTCCTTGATAGTCTTTTGGTTATCCTTCTTCTTGTATTGATTAATTGTAACTAATCATATATATATTACTTCAATAAAGCTGTTTTATATATATAACCTCAATGAAGAAATTATATATATATATATACTGCAGTTCGTCTATCTCTCTCATTCTGTTTGTCTGTGTTGCAATTAATGTTGACAATCAGAAATTGATAAAAACATATACATTAGTCATCATTATCCCCCTACCAGTAACAAGGGGTCTGTCTGCCTGTCCGCCTGTTAATCCACTGTCTTGTTCAGGTTTAACTACTACACTACATATACTTGTCACTGGAACTTCATACTTGAGGTATGGGTTCTTCTTGGTTTGGCAGTGTCTTGTGCATCGAAACAGATCTATATTGATCTGAAGAAGGTCACGTTGACCTACATTTTGACTTTTGACTAAAATCAAAGCAACAGTTTGTCAGGATCTATCTCCTACACTGCTACTCACTGGAACTTCATGCTTCAGGTATTGGTTCACCTTGGTGAGGGAGTGTAAGGGGCCGTAATTCACAGCATTGCCTTCTTACATTGTCGACGTTATACCTTTTGTATAGAAAATGAAGGACGAGCAGGGTAATATAAGGATCAATATATGCACCATATCTTGCATAATGTGAATGAGGATACCTTACCTTACATAGTAGAAAGGTTTTACTAAATTGTATTTAGAAGGAATCACTGGTAAATTAGTGCATGACATGCACCATTAAAACAAGGCAACTTAAAAACTGGTAAGTGTGGTTGCTTAAAGTGAAAATTACAGACAAGAAGTCTAATATCAGCTGGTTATACTCGGGTCTTTTTCTGCCATTTTACAAAAGACTTGGGCTAATTTTTGGGATACTGAATTCATCACCACTTTCATAATTATCCCAAACTTTGCTTCATTCCAACATGTTACATGTCCAATAACAGTGGTTCTCTGGATTATCCAGGAAAACATGAATTGTATTTTATTATTATGACCTTAAGGTCATGGATTTGAATTAATGAACTTGATAGTGCTTCATCCAAGCTGGCTTCTGATGAGATATATTACAACACTTTTTGATCCTTGTAAAGATTTTTTCAAAGATTTTACTTACATTAATTATGTAATGCCCGTGACCTTGTAAGCTTGATACCCTTCATACTTCCAGACTGATATAAAAAAAAAGCTGATAAAATGTCAGAATCCATTTGACTATGCATCAAATTATTACACTAATGGCTACATATAGGTGTCATGACGAGAGGTTTTCAATTATTCACATGAAGCCACTTTACGGCTTCAACACAATTAACCTGTTGACCATGAAAGTACATGCATACATTATTGTAGGTCAAAAGATAATTAAGTTTGATAAACCTGATATCCCATTGTGTGAGCATGCTTTGTACATGTACTTGCCATAATCACAATCTAAAGGAAGTTGGTCAAAGATTTCAGATCATTTGATCTCTGATCTTGAAAGTGTGTCAAGATCATGCATTGATATGATCTTGATAGCCATTAATTTCTTCATGCTAGCTGAATAATGACCCAATATTAGCACCCCATTGTCCATTTCAAATTTAACATGCATTAACTCGGGTTTTCACAATATAATCACTTTTGTTGACCCATATGGAAATACATTAGGCATCTTAATCAATTTAGAAATTATCCAGGAAGCCATCTTTTGAAAATGAATCCACTTAGTTACTTGATTTTTCAATTTAATCCAATCATAATTTTAAATATATCTAGTGGTACAGTGGTGCTTCAACTTTGTAAAGAGAGTTTTGTTGTCCTTTTCATGGTTTTACAATTATGTATATATTATTTTCACACTAGGTGGCGGCAGTGGTATTGGAAAAGCTGTGTGTCAGGTGTTTGCTAAAGAAGGAGCCACTGTAGCTGTTGTAGACTTGCATGCAGAAACTGCTAACAGTACTCTGGAAACCTTACCTAAAGGTAAATGTACTTTTCGCAAGAATTAATTTGAGTCACTATAACTTACTCTAAGACAGTACTACCAGGCCCAAGTTACTCGAAGCTAAGTTTAAGTAAACCAGTGCTTAATAAAACAAATCAGATTGCTGCCCCTGAAAAAAAAATTAAAGCAAAATTGAAGATCACGAAATATGAATCTGACCTGTATCATTAAGCCACGACTGTGTTATCATGCAGAATATTTATTCATATTTTAAATTTTTTACTTATCACTGGTTCAATTGACATCAAGCATTGAACAACTACAGAGGACCAGATGTCATAGTTATCCTATCCCTTTTTTTCTCCCAAACAGGTTTTGCTTCTTCCATACATGTATATTTGTAAATAAAACAATAAAAGGATATATTAAAAGTTTATAGTATCATTTTAGATCTAGTTTTGTTGATAACATAATCAGTGCTTTTTCTAACATTGGTCAGTTCAAGTTACTTTTCCACAATTATCTGTAAATGTTTTAGAAAAATGTTAAATCATATGCACCTGATCAAAATGAGATGGGTTCTTCATGCTGGTGGCCATCTTTGATTTTGACAAAGAATATATTACTGTTGTTTAATTTGAAGAATTGCTGGAAAAATATTTCTCAAAATATTATGTTTAAGTTAGAGTCCCATGGTCCTTGGTTGTACTGTATTATTGCTGCTAGGAAGATGTTATGAATTGATTTCTCTCAAACTTTATATGTGGGTTTCTCTTGGTCCTTAGCTTTGCATGATTTCGGAAGTACAAGGTACTGAAAAAAACCCACTTTAACAGTTTGATATATATAATAATATAACTTGATATTGTGTTCATTTGATCAACATATAAATCCTTTGTTTCAATATGATGATCAGTCCAATAGATTAGAGGAAATGGCAGAAAGGAATGGAAAAGATTTAATTCTTACACAGAACTAGATAATATCTCACAATAGGGGTGTCAGTTAGGTCACTCTGGATGTCATTTTGGATATATGTATATGGTATATGAAATTTATTTGGTCAGGTTATTTCAACTGATTGAGAATTATAAGTGTTTATGGAAATAAGATGTTTCTTTCCTTTTAGATAAAAACTCAGGTGGTAACATCATTAAATAAATGAGTTACTGCTTCAGTCAGTAAGGCTAATGGCTGATATATATCAGGTTGATCTTCATTGATAGGTGATCACAAGGCCTTTGGTGCAGATGTTTCCTGTTCAGCATCCGTGAATGACCTCATTGGTCAGTTGAAAGACAAATTCTCAGCAGTACCCACAGTGGCTGTCAACTCAGCTGGGATCACCCGAGATAAACTCATGCTTAAAATGGGTGAACAAGAATTTGATGAGGTCATTGGGGTTAACCTGAAGGTATGATGATTAAAGACATACTGTACATATCCATCAATATGCCCATGGCTGGTAATAAGCCTATTCATAATTATTGCTGTTTCAGAAATGTCAATAAATGCTGAATTTATCATTAATAGTAAGAATGTTTCTTGTACATATTAAGTATTGTTATTTTCATAATTTTGTTTCAGGGAACATTCCTTGTAAACCAGGCTATCAGTCGTGCCCTAGTGGAGAGTAAAGCTCAAGGTGGATCGCTCATAAACATCTCCAGCATATCTGGGAAGGTAAAGCCACACATCTGTACTTAATGGCTAGAATAGGACACTGATCACACAAGTTTTGTTACCCTAGTAATATAAAGTGAAACAAGGAACTCACAAGTAGGATACATCTGTTGTAAAGCAAGACAAAAATACAGCAAACTATTTAAAGATGTTCTCATTCTTTAGGAATTATTGGTTTTTGTCCTAGCTTGGTCTGAAGTATTCTAGGGCGAAGAGAAACTAATTTGATATAAACCATACATCTGTTCACCATGGGGCAGAGGAGCTGGGCCTAATGGGAGAAATAGATATAAGTCTCTTTAAATATTTTTCATTTAGAATAAATAAAGAAATTTTAGTGAATTAAACCAGTGTAGCATGGTATTGTGAAGCATGGGGAAATGAACCGAAGTCAAAATACCATTATGGTGAAATGTACTCCCCATGGTAAAGTGAAGCCACTTTATATTTCGTTTTCAATCAAGGTTTCTTCACTTAATTTTTTTATCACTTTGATTGATTAGATTCCTCCGTATATAACAAAACTAAAAAATAGGGAAATAGGTGGGGAAATTTACTGTGGTGCAGGGCCATAGTAAAGTGAATCATTTCACTATTTCCTTACTAATTAACCATTTTTTACCTTTTTTTCTGTTTGTCCTGATTCAATCATATAAATACATAAATAACAAAAAATAATGGTGAAATGAACTGTGGTTCACTTTACCATGGGCTTCCCTTTATCATACTACACCAGGTGAGCAATATAGACCTTATGGGCCTGTTGTTTTATGTTTACTCCAGAGAGTCACTATCATTCATATATTTACATGTTATATATATATACCCCTCAGGTTAAGGTATTGTTTTACTCCTCAGGTTGGTAATGTAGGCCAGACTAACTATGCAGCTTCTAAAGCAGGGGTGGTGGGACTCACGAAGACTGTTGCCAAGGAAATGGGAAGGTCAGGATCTTTTATAAGTTTTGTTTTCAGTTGTTTTTTGTCCGCAGCTATTCTATGATAAATTACATCAGTATATTAATTTTGAAATTGAGCTTGTGAAGTGATTTAGTTGGTGTTTGGAAGGATGTTTATGATATTAATAGGATTGTAAGATATATTATTGTAATCGAAAACTGTAGTCGAACTGCTTACCAAAAAAAAAGAGGGATGTGCTTCATAAAACTTAACTTGCAGCGAAAAATTACTGTGTGAAATCAGTTCTTGATGATAACTCATTTTTCAAAAGAAGAAAATTTTTTAGCTCCAGTTTTCCTGAGCATAGCTGTTCATTAATTTTTTTATTTACTGCTGGTGATAAATCCCAGCTATGTCTATCTGATCATCTACCAATGGCATCAGACCTATATTTGACCTGTATCCTAATCACAGAAGTACTTTTCGGAATGATTTTATGCAGAAAATGTTACCATCCTGACAATACTTTTAACCACTTTACAAGCATCAGGCATTGAATATCATAATTTTCCAATTTTTAATTATAATATTTGACATTCTGTGCATCATGAAATGTGTAGGAACGTCCAAGTTTAATGAGCTGTATTTTAGGTTTGGTATCCGTGTGAACGCCATCTTACCTGGATTTATTGAGACACCTATGACTGATAAAGTACCGGATCATCTGATACAGATGACCAAAATGCTTATCCCTCTTTCACGACTTGGACAGCCTGAGGGTAAGTTATCAGTTTCACGAGTTGGGCAGCCTGAGGGTAAGTTATCAGTTTCACGAGTTGGGCAGCCTGAGGGTAAGTTATCAGTTTCACGAGTTGGGCAGTAATGTATTTCAGTATTCTATAAAAGCATGTCAAAGTCACTCTCCGAGATAAATATTACATCACAGTCATGAAAATCTCTTCTCTCCCAGGGAAAAAGGCTGAAGTGCAGATTTGAGTGTAATTTAATTTATTCTGTTGATGGGAAGACACTCTTTTGGTACACTCACTTGACAAAGACATTGTCCTAGCAGGAAGACAGTGTCCTGGAGGTAAAACACTATCAGTGGCAAAATACTTTCCTCTTGGTAAGACTTTCACCTGTTGGTTGGGAATTACTTTCTGGGTGGAAAGATGCTTAAGTTGGTGGTAAGACACTTTTGGTGGTAAGTTACATTGCAGGTAGTAAAACATTGGTGGTGGCAAGATACTTTCCTTGTAGTAAGATACTTTCCTTGTTGTAAGACACATTTGGTGGTATGTTACTTTCCCGATAGTAAGACACTAGTAGTGGTAAGATACTTTCCTTGTTGAAAGACACATTTGGTGGAATGTTACTTTCCTGATAGTAAGACACTAGTAGTGGTAAGATACTTTCCTTGTTGTAAGACACATTTGGTGGTATGTTACTTTCCTAATAGTAAGACACTAGTAGTGGTAAGATACTTTCCTTGTTGTAAGACACATTTGGTGGAATGTTACTTTCCCGATAGTAAGACACTAGTAGTGGTAAGATACTTTCCTTGTTGTAAGACACATTTGGTGGAATGTTACTTTCCCGGTAGTAAGACACTAGTAGTGGTAAGATACTTTCCTTGTTGTAAGACACATTTGGTGGAATGTTACTTTCCTGATAGTAAGACACTAGTAGTGGTAAGATACTTTCCTTGTTGTAAGACACATTTGGTGAAATGTTACTTTCCCGATAGTAAGACACTAGTAGTGGTAAGATACTTTCCTTGTTGTAAGACACATTTGGTGGTATGTTACTTTCCTGATAGTAAGACACTAGTAGTGGTAAGATACTTTCCTTGTTGTAAGACACATTTGGTGGTATGTTTCTTTCCTGATAGTAAGACACTAGTAGTGGTAAGATACTTTCCTTGTTGTAAGACACATTTGGTGGTATGTTAATCTCCTGATAGTAAGACACTAGTAGTGGTAAGATACTTTCCTTGTTATAAGACACATTTGGTGGTATGTTACTTTCCTGATAGTAAGACACTAGTAGTGGTAAGATACTTTCCTTGTTGTAAGACACATTTGGTGGCTAGTTCTTTACCTGGTAGTGAGATACTTTCATGTGGTAAGACACACTGTTCTTGACCCTTTGGTGGTAAGTTACTTTCCTGACAGTAAGATATTTCTTAGGGGTGTGATACTTTCCTGGTGTTAAGATACTCATCTTCACCTGACGGTAAGATTGTGCTCAGAGAAGTTTTCATTGACCTGTGAATTTTAGAGATAGGATGTTGCTACCATTCAGACCTGTGAATTAGTAAGACACACATCATCATGATGAATTGACAAAGGGTAGACCTTTTAGACAAATACATACACACATATCATTACAGAGGAAAGATTCCACATTTCTCTCTATTTCAAAACATTTTCACAGACCTGTGAATAACACATACATACACACATATCATTCACAGACCTGTGAATTAGACATATCATTCACAGACCTGTGAATTAGACAAATACATACACACGTATCTTTCACAGACCTGTGAATTAGACAAATACATACACACATACCATTCACAGACCTGTGAATTAGACACATACATACACACATACCATTCACAGACCTGTGAATTAGACACATACATACACACATATCATTCACAGACCTGTGAATTAGACAAATACATACACACATATCTTTCACAGACCTGTGAATTAGACACATACATACACACATACCATTCACAGACCTGTGAATTAGACACATACATACACACATACCATTCACAGACCTGTGAATTAGACAAATACCGTACATACACACATTATTCACAGACCTGTGAATTAGACACATACATACACATGTATCTTTCTCAGACCTGTGAATTAGACAAATACATACACACATATCATTCACAGACCTGTGAATTAGACAAATACATACACACATATCATTCACAGACCTGTGAATTAGACACATACATACACACATATCATTCACAGACCTGTGAATTAGACACATACATACACACATACCATATCACAGACCTGTGAATTAGACACATACATACACACATATCATTCACAGACCTGTGAATTAGACACATACATACACACATATCATTCACAGACCTGTGAATTAGACACATACATACACACATATCTTTCACAGACCTGTGAATTAGACAAATACATCCACACATATCATTCACAGACCTGTGAATTAGACACATACATACACACATACCATTCACAGACCTGTGAATTAGACACACATACCATTCACAGACCTGTGAATTAGACACATACATACACACATATCTTTCACAGACCTGTGAATTAGACACATACATACACACATACCATTCACAGACCTGTGAATTAGACACATACATACACACATACCATTCACAGACCTGTGAATTAGACACATACATACACACATATCATTCACAGACCTGTGAATTAGACACATACATACACACATATCTTTCACAGACCTGTGAATTAGACAAATACATCCACACATATCATTCACAGACCTGTGAATTAGACACATACATACACACATACCATTCACAGACCTGTGAATTAGAAACATACATACACACATATCATTCACAGACCTATGAATTAGACACATACATACACACATATCATTCACAGACCTGTGAATTAGTCAAATACATACACACGTATCATTCACAGACCTGTGAATTAGACACATACATACACACATATCATTCACAGACCTGTGAATTAGACAAATACGTTCACACATATCATTCACAGACCTGTGAATTAGACAAATACATTCACACATATCATTCACAGACCTGTGAATTAGACAAATACATACACACATATCATTCACAGACCTGTGAATTAGACAAATACATACACACATACCATTCACAGACTTTCACAGACCTGTGAATTAGACACATACATACACACATATCATTCACAGACCTGTGAATTAGACACATACATACACATATATCATTCACAGACCTGTGAATTAGACACATACATACACACATATCATTCACAGACCTGTGAATTAGACACATACATACACACATATCATTCACAGACCTGTGAATTAGACACATACATACACACATATCTTTCACAGACCTACACACATTAGACACATACACACATATCATTCACAGACCTGTGAATTAGACACATACATACACACATATCATTCACAGACCTGTGAATTAGACACAACATACATTCACAGACCTGTGACACACACACACACATTCACAGACCTGTGAATTAGACACATACATACACACATACATACACACATTCATTCACAGACCTGTGAATTAGACACATACATACACACATATCTTTCACAGACCTGTGAATTAGACACATACATACACACATATCTTTCACAGACATGTGAATTAGACAAATACATACGCACATATCTTTCACAGACCTGTGAATTAGACACATACATACACACATATCATTCACAGACCTGTGAATTAGACACATACATACACACATAACATTCACAGACCTGTGAATTAGACACATACATACACACATACCATTCACAGACCTGTGAATTAGACACAGACATACACACATACCATTCACAGACCTGTGAATTAGACACATACATACACACGTATGTACACCTGTGAATTAGACACATACATACACACATATCACACAGACCTGTGAATTAGACACATACATACACACATATCATTCACAGACCTGTGAATTAGACACATACCTGTGAATTACACACATACATACACACATCTTTCACAGACCTGTGAATTAGACACATACATACACACATACACACACATATCTTTCACAGACCTGTGAATTAGACACATACACACACATATCATTCACAGACCTGTGAATTAGACACATACATACACACATATCATTCACAGACCTGTGAATTAGACACATACATACACACATATCATTCACAGACCTGTGAATTAGACACATACATACACACATACCATTCACAGACCTGTGAATTAGACACAGACATACACACATACCATTCACAGACCTGTGAATTAGACACATACATACACACATATCATTCACAGACCTGTGAATTAGACACATACATACACACATATCATTCACAGACCTGTGAATTAGACACATACATACACACATATCATTCACAGACCTGTGAATTAGACACATACATACACACATATCATTCACAGACCTGTGAATTAGACAAATACATACACACATACCATTCACAGACCTGTGAATTAGACACATACATACACACATACCATTCACATTCATTCACAGACCTGTGAATTAGACACAGACATACACACATACCATTCACAGGCCTGTGAATTAGACACATACATACACACGTATCTTTCACAGACCTGTGAATTAGACAAATACATACACACATATCTTTCACGGACCTGTGAATTAGACACATACACACACACATATCTTTCACAGACCTGTGAATTAGACAAATACATACACACGTATCTTTCACAGACCTGTGAATTAGACAAATACATACACACATATCTTTCACGGACCTGTGAATTAGACACATACACACACACATATCTTTCACACATATCTTTGTGACTGGGACCTGTGAATTAGACACATACACACACACATACACACACGTATCTTTCACAGACCTGTGAATTAGACACATACACACACACATATCTTTCTCGGACCTGTGAATTAGACACATACATACACACGTATCTTTCACAGACCTGTGAATTAGACACATACACACACATATCATTCACAGACCTGTGAATTAGACACAGACATACACACATACCATTCACAGACCTGTGAATTAGACACATACATACACACATACCATTCACAGACCTGTGAATTAGACACATAAATGTATCTTTCACAGACCTGTGAATTAGACACATACACACACATATCATTCACAGACCTGTGAATTAGACACATAAATGTATCATTCACAGACCTGTGAATTAGACACATACACACACATACCATTCACAGACCTGTGAATTAGACACATAAATGTATCTTTCACAGACGTGTGAATTAGACACATACACACACATACCATTCACAGACCAGTGAATTAGACACATACACACACATACCATTCACAGACCTGTGAATTAGACACATAAATATATCTTTCACAGACCTGTGAATTAGACACATAAATGTATCATTCACAGACCTGTGAATTAGACACATAAATGTATCTTTCACAGACCTGTGAATTAGACACATAAATGTATCATTCACAGACCTGTGAATTAGACACATACACACACATATCATTCACAGACCTGTGAATTAGACACATAAATGTATCTTTCACAGACCTGTGAATTAGACACATAAATGTATCATTCACAGACCTATGAATTAGACACATAAATGTATCTTTCACCTCCTGATTTATGTTTGTGTTACAGAGATTGCCAACGCCTGTCTGTTTTTAGCTTCTGACCACAGCAGTTATGTGACTGGGACCACTTTAGAGGTTACAGGTAAGATCTTGTAAACAAATAACATAATTTTCCAATATTTCTTGTAAAGATATACTTTAAGATTATCTCTGTGGAATTTTGTCTGATTAGAGTATTTACACTATATCTCCAAATGATTACCCTTCAGAAATTTTTTTATAGAGAAGTAAGAATTGTGATTAAACTGAAAAAAGGTTTGTTATCCCCTTGATCAATATGTCAGAGTACAAATATCTGGACATATTTGAATACAAAGTCTATTCTCACAAGCACGAAAGTAGTCTCTGTCCCCCTTGATTATCAGATGGTAGGCTGCTCAAATCATCCTTTGTCTGGTGTCCTGTCATTGTCAGGTGCCTTTCCATTCTTTAACAATTCTTGTTTTTTCTATTTATTGTGAAGTTTTAAATGGATCCTTCTCAAATTTTATTTGTTCCAAAGCATGTCTTGTCCATTTTTGGACTGATTAGAAAAAGAAAATGGCCAATAAATGGAGGATTGGGCTACCTTGACTGTTATAGCTTATCATTATTTTGGAAGAGGTACCTAAAGATAGATCATTCTAAGATTTCCATGTACGGTTCCTCCAAGACCCTAGTGCATGATTTTTGGACAGATCAGGAGAGAAAAGAATTGGAAAGATAAATAAACCAGTAGACTCCAGGATCCCTCTGGTATCTCTTTTGAAGACTCTCTGTTAACATTCATTAGATATACTTGTTTGTTTCACACTTCGTATCCATCATATCAGTAGCAAGTTATTCAAGTTATCTTTCCTGTTTGAAACCCTTTGGAATTTTTACCTTCACTTCTTATACTCCTGTCAAAAACTTTGAAGAGAAACATTTCCTGCTGTTGTAAACACTCATTTTCAATTGGTTTCTTTCAAACTTGTTACCTGTGGTAAACACTCATTTTCAATTGGTTTCTTTCAAACTTGTTACCTGTGGTAAACACTCATTTTTTAATCAGTCTCTTTCAAGCTTGTTACCAGGTAGGCTTACACACAATGACATGAAGCAATCTTTTCCTGAAGGGCAGTGTGATATCGTGTTTGGAAGAATTTATGCCCTTTCGTGTTTTCATAGTCTTAATCTTTCCCAGCAATCTCCTACATTATTTGTACAAATCTCTTTCAAACTTGGCATGTTGATAACTCATTTATGAAATAATATTTTTCTGAACAATCTGTTGCATTTTTTCCCTAAATGTTGCAATTTTTTCCTTAGATCTTTGAAACACAGTAGGCTATATAACCATGAAATCAAATTATTTCTAACAGGTGGCCTTTTTCCATGAGGAAGGCATTAGTGGACAGTTACTACTGGCGATATGAAGCAGCTTATATCAGTGCCACACCTGAAATGATGCAGGAATACAGTAGAAAGCACTGACATTATGATGTTGGCAATACCTCTGTACCATGAATTGTGATCTTCTTGTAATTTTCTATCAATGGTTAGGTAGTTTGTACTGTAATCCTATTTATATTTTCACATATAAAATTGTTGAAATTTTGAGTTGTTCTTGTGAATTTTTTTGATTATATATTTCATGGAATGAATCACAGAACTTGCACCAGCAATACTTTTTAAGGATGAATAATTGTAAAACAAGAGGCTTAAAAAGTAGAACAAGAGGCCCATGGGCCTTAACAATCATCTGACATAAAATACAAGATTTCAAATTTTGAACTTTAGAAGTCGAAAATGTGTTTTCAAGATGGCGGCCATGTTGGATTTTGGACCAGCCCGAAATTAACAAACTTTGGTCAGGATCATCTCACGATCATTTCAGGTAAGTTTCAGTGTAATGAGACATGTAGAACTTGAGAAGTTGAAAATGTTTACGCCGGACAATGCCGGACAAAAGGCGATTGCAATAGGTCATCAGACCTTCAGTCAGATGACCTAAAAATTGGAGTTTTTTGTGTATTTACCAGGAAAACGATTTAAATTTTTTTTCAGTGAAGGTTTTGTTTTCAATATTTCAAACAAATCTGCTGTTACTCAAATGGGATGAAGGTTCATTACACTCACTGCATATATTGAGCTAGATTTTTCAACAAAACATCACTGAGCTGTATACTTACAGTGTATGTTCATAAATCACCAACTGTATACTACAGCTTTCAGCTTTGTTATTTATTACCATCTACTGTTTACAGTGAACAGCTTTGTTTTACAATCTCCTGCACTGTATACTACAGCTAAACAGCTTTGTTCATTACAATCTCCTGCACCGTATACTACAGCTAAACAGCTTTGTTCATTACAATCTCCTGCACCGTATACTACAGCTAAACAGCTTTGTTCATTACAATCTCCTGCACCGTATACTACAGCTAAACAGCTTTGTTCATTACAATCTCCTGCACTGTATACTACAGCTAAACAGCTTTGTTCATTACAATCTCCTGCACCGTATACTACAGCTAAACAGCTTTGTTCATTACAATCTCCTGCACCGTATACTACAGCTAAACAGCTTTGTTAGTTCATTACAATCTCCTGCACCGTATACTACAGCTAAACAGCTTTGTTCATTACAATCTCCTGCACCGTATACTACAGCTAAACAGCTTTGTTCATTACAATCTCCTGCACCGTATACTACAGCTAAACAGCTTTGTTCATTACAATCTCCTGCACCGTATACTACAGCTAAACAGCTTTGTTAGTTCATTACAATCTCCTGCACCGTATACTACAGCTAAACAGCTTTGTTCATTACAATCTCCTGCACCGTATACTACAGCTAAACAGCTTTGTTAGTTCATTACAATCTCCTGCACTGTATACTACAGCTAAACAGCTTTGTTATTTTATTACAATCTCCTGCACCGTATACTACAGCTAAACAGCTTTGTTCATTACAATCTCCTGCACCGTATACTACAGCTAAACAGCTTTGTTATTTCATTACAATCTCCTGCACCGTATACTACAGCTAAACAGCTTTGTTAGTTCATTACAATCTCCTGCACTGTATACTACAGCTAAACAGCTTTGTTCATTACAATCTCCTGCACCGTTACTACAGCTAAACAGCTTTGTTCATTACAATCTCCTGCACCGTATACTACAGCTAAACAGCTTTGTTCATTACAATCTCCTGCACCGTATACTACAGCTAAACAGCTTTGTTAGTTCATTACAATCTCCTGCACCGTATACTACAGCTAAACAGCTTTGTTAGTTCATTACAATCTCCTGCACCGTATACTACAGCTAAACAGCTTTGTTAGTTCATTACAATCTCCTGCACTGTATACTACAGCTAAACAGCTTTGTTATTTCATTACAATCTCCTGCACCGTATACTACAGCTAAACAGCTTTGTTAGTTCATTACAATCTCCTGCACCATATACTACAGCTAAACAGCTTTGTTAGTTCATTACAATCTCCTGCACTGTATACTACAGCTAAACAGCTTTGTTCATTACAATCTCCTGCACCGTATACTACAGCTAAACAGCTTTGTTCATTACAATCTCCTGCACCGTATACTACAGCTAAACAGCTTTGTTAATTACAATCTCCTGCACCGTATACTACAGCTAAACAGCTTTGTTAGTTCATTACAATCTCCTGCACCGTATACTACAGCTAAACAGCTTTGTTCATTACAATCTCCTGCACCGTATACTACAGCTAAACAGCTTTGTTAGTTCATTACAATCTCCTGCACTGTATACTACAGCTAAACAGCTTTGTTATTTCATTACAATCTCCTGCACCGTATACTACAGCTAAACAGCTTTGTTCATTACAATCTCCTGCACCGTATACTACAGCTAAACAGCTTTGTTATTTCATTACAATCTCCTGCACCGTATACTACAGCTAAACAGCTTTGTTAGTTCATTACAATCTCCTGCACCGTATACTACAGCTAAACAGCTTTGTTCATTACAATCTCCTGCACCGTATACTACAGCTAAACAGCTTTGTTCATTACAATCTCCTGCACCGTATACTACAGCTAAACAGCTTTGTTCATTACAATCTCCTGCACCGTATACTACAGCTAAACAGCTTTGTTCATTACAATCTCCTGCACCGTATACTACAGCTAAACAGCTTTGTTAGTTCATTACAATCTCCTGCACCGTATACTACAGCTAAACAGCTTTGTTAGTTCATTACAATCTCCTGCACTGTATACTACAGCTAAACAGCTTTGTTCATTACAATCTCCTGCACCGTATACTACAGCTAAACAGCTTTGTTAGTTCATTACAATCTCCTGCACCGTATACTACAGCTAAACAGCTTTGTTCATTACAATCTCCTGCACCGTATACTACAGCTAAACAGCTTTGTTCATTACAATCTCCTGCACCGTATACTACAGCTAAACAGCTTTGTTCATTACAATCTCCTGCACCGTATACTACAGCTAAACAGCTTTGTTAGTTCATTACAATCTCCTGCACTGTATACTACAGCTAAACAGCTTTGTTCATTACAATCTCCTGCACCGTATACTACAGCTAAACAGCTTTGTTATTTCATTACAATCTCCTGCGCCGTATACTATAGCTAAACAGCTTTGTTATTTCATTACAATCTCCTGTGCCGTATACTACAGCTAAACAGCTTTGTTATTTCATTACAATCTCCTGCACTGTATACTACAGCTAAACAGCTTTGTTCATTACAATCTCCTGCACTGTATACTACAGCTAAACAGCTTTGTTCATTACAATCTCCTGCACTGTATACTACAGCTAAACAGCTTTGTTCATTACAATCTCCTGCACTGTATACTACAGCTAAACAGCTTTGTTCATTACAATCTCCTGCACCGTATACTACAGCTAAACAGCTTTGTTCATTACAATCTCCTGCACCGTATACTATAGCTAAACAGCTTTGTTCATTACAATCTCCTGCACTGTAAACTACAGCTAAACAGCTTTGTTCATTACAATCTCCTGCACTGTATACTACAGCTAAACAGCTTTGTTCATTACAATCTCCTGCACCGTATACTACAGCTAAACAGCTTTGTTCATTACAATCTCCTGCACCGTATACTACAGCTAAACAGCTTTGTTCATTACAATCTCCTGCACCGTATACTACAGCTAAACAGCTTTGTTCATTACAATCTCCTGCACTGTATACTACAGCTAAACAGCTTTGTTCATTACAATCTCCTGCACTGTATACTACAGCTAAACAGCTTTGTTCATTACAATCTCCTGCACCGTATACTACAGCTAAACAGCTTTGTTCATTACAATCTCCTGCACCGTATACTACAGCTAAACAGCTTTGTTCATTACAATCTCCTGCACCGTATACTACAGCTAAACAGCTTTGTTCATTACAATCTCCTGCACCGTATACTACAGCTAAACAGCTTTGTTATTTCATTACAATCTCCTGCACCGTATACTTCAGTTAAACGGCATGTAATGTTTCAATGAATACATTGTTGCCTTCATCTGACAAATCACTAGTAAATCATAGGTGCATGCACTTGAGTACAGATTTATGAGATTGAAAGACAATCAACAGGACTTCTGCTGTATAATACTACATACACAAAGGTGGAAGTTCATGCACCAAATGGCTTTAACATTATAGTGAATAAAGGTTCAATTTTTGATTTGGTTATCAAGAAGAAGTTGTTTAAATATTTTAACATATTTGACCTCTGTGACTTTGAAAGTAGGTCAAGGTCATTCCCATTAACAAACTTGGTAGCTCTACATCCAATAATGCTACAGACCCAATATCAGTACCCTGAGCCTTCTGGTTATTGAGAAGAAGTCATCTGAATGGAAAGTTTATGCACAGTGGACGCCACAGGATGATGGACGAAACATGATAGCTATGAAAACGACACAAAGTATGTATAAATTCAAAGTTCAAAAATTTATTCAAGCAACTATTCATATTGCATACAATTTATTTCTTTTTCACAATGTCTACAGGTAAGACTGAAGAGAAAATCAAATATAAATCCTTGGAAACAAATAAAGAACAAACAAGTAGAACATGAAACAGGATGCATTTATTTCTGCAACTGTTCTAAATGCAATTTTTTCAATGCACCAAAAATGTCAGAATGCTTATTAATTTTACAAAAGAACTTGAGTTGGAGCTAGCATTTGAATATGTGCGAGTATGAGTACATGTGTATGTATATAACAACCAAATTTCTAAGTAAGAACACATATTTATATAGCAATAAAGTACAAACAACATACTACAGAATTTCCAAACTTCCTGTGTGAAAGCAACATAGATACCATATTCGTATTTTCTTTTAAAAGATTAAGCACTATGTTGTGTTAGTTGATATGAAGACCTTAATGTAAATGATATGTTCTAAGTGGAATTGTAAGAAGTACATTAAATGCAATGTCCTAAAAACACCATGTTCATTGGCTGGTGAGTAGGAATGTGGTTTTATTTAACAACATCCATATAGCAATGTCAGGTGACCCTAGACATCTAGTGACTTACAAAGATTTACCAAGCCATCATGCCCATTGTAATTGAAGAATGAAACTGAGGCATACATAAAGAGGTGGATAATTCTGCAGTAAACTGGTAAATTTGGAAAAATCTCGAATAACCCTCTTTCTTAAAAAACTATTTCAAGTCAAATGTTGTGAGTGAACAAAATCTGGTACTTTATCACAATGTTTCCAATGGTGTCACACTTCGGTTTGGCTATATTCCACGATTAAATCGGGGTAAGACGAAGGTAGGGCTTCCCGGATGGAACTTCCACAACTCTATGTTCTGGGAATTTTTCTTTTGCCTCTTGCGGTGATAGCGAAGGAACAACCATCACCTCCTTTCCTGGCTGTTAAAATACAACACATATTGGAGATCAGCATGTTTTTATCCTAATTATTATATTACCATATGCTATTACAGAACACATTTCATACAATATTACACTACAACATCATATAATATTACAGCATAACATCATATAATATTAAAGCATAACATCATATAATATTACAGCATAACATCATACAATATTACAGTATAACATAACACAATATTACAGTATAACATAACACAATATTACAGTATAACATAACACAACATTACAGTATAACATAAGACAATGTTACAGTATAAAATAACACAACATTACAGCATAACATAACACAACATTACAGTATAACATCCCACAACATTACAGTATAACATAACACAACATTACAGTATAACATAACACAATATTACAGTATAACATAACACAATATTACAGTATAACATAACACAACATTACAGTATAAAATAACACAACATTACAGTATAACATAACACAACATTACAGTATAAAATAACACAACATTACAGTATAACATAACACAACATTACAGTATAAAATAACACAACATTACAGTATAACATAACACAACATTACAGTATAAAATAACACAATATTACAGTATAAAATAACACAACATTACAGTATAAAATAACACAACATTACAGTATAACATAACACAACATTACAGTATAACATAACACAACATTACAGTATAACATAACACAACATTACAGTATAACATAAGACAATGTTAATGTGTAACATATTACTATTATAGTATATATATGTTGGGATACACTTTATGATGGGATGTGTATTAAAGTGGAAGAGCATGATAACTGCACTGGAAACATTGAAAGCTATCACATACCTCCCAGTTAGCTGGTGTAGCAACCTTTTGGGTGGCAGTCAGTTGGAGGGAGTCAACAACACGCAGGATCTCTCTGTTGGTGAAATAATATGACCATGAATTTGTTTTTTTCAGATAATAACAAATATGACAGGGTACTCGAGTGCATTTATTAAATTCATTCAAGCATTTAGCTAAACTTCAGAATTCGTTTAACTCTTTTGCTTTTTATTCCATACATATATATAATAAATAGAAGTTATTTCTATTAGCGACTCTTTTGAAATGAAGGTAGTTTATGAGACATGTCATTGGGGTAAACATTCAATCATGGTGGTAATGTATTGAATGTTGTCTTTAACAATTTTGATTTTTGTCAGTAAAGATTTCTTTAAATTGAAATTTAAACTGGTTATCCCTCAATAAGAAATATTAAAGGAAAACAAGAGGAGACAAATATTTGATAAAGTGTTTCATCTTGTTTAGTTTTGTTTCGAATGTCATGTAGACATTACTGTGTGACTGCATCCTGAGAAGCTGAAAGATTTGATACTTCCTATTTCAGACACATATTCCACTGCTATACTAAATCATTTGCCCACAAAATCTCATGGAATATTGATGAAATTTAATTCTATTTCAACTTTGCACAAAAGAAGGGGGATAACTTGGCGATCATTTTTGTAACTCCTTAATAATCAGTCATCACTTCAATTCAAGGACATTACAAAAAGTATTCATCTAATAATTTTTCTAAATAGAGCAAAAGGAATCAGGCATATGTAATTTGCTTTAAAAGAATCCTTTCCTCTTCTTGTAAACTATTTATAAAGACTTGAGCAGGATGACAGCTAGCTGAAGGAAAACCTACCCTTGTTTCACTGCAAAATTGATGCTGTTCCCCTAGACACCCTTCTAGGGTACATAAAGTGTTCAAATGATTACTTGCGCAAATTCTTCCCTTAAATATAGTGAAGAGAAGTAGTTAGCATTCCTAAATTCAAACAATGTCAGAGATTTACATAACAAGATGGTTTGATATGCACCTTGTGTCACAGTCAGCATAACAACATCTATCATTAACTGGCTGACCTGAGTGTGATTGGCCGTCTCATATGTTGTTAAACCTCCCTGTGTTGTCTATATGATAAAGACTTACGTGAAATTCCTGCCAGTAGTGGCTGGGTACAGCAGTGATAACTTCAACTTCTTGTCAGGGCCAATAATGAATACCTATCAGTAAAAAGATTTTGATGTTAAATTAGTAGTTATACGATTCAGACTGCAATGCATTGGTTTTTCTTAAGCATTTCTTCTAATACTTTACAATGACATGTAATACAAATGTAAACTGTGCATAACATAAAGTGCCATCCCCTGTTGAGGATTCTAACCAAGTTTAAACCATGAGAAATGATAATAAAAAAGTGGGGGTTTTTTTTATAGTAAACATTACTCCCTCCCAAAGGGGAAATGTGAGACTCTACTGAGCTCATCAAATTCATAATACATTATATATTAATAAATTTATGTGATAAACAGAATTTAATATTTTCCTTTTTCTAATACACATGCCATTGATGAATTTTCTATTAACTGTATGTAAATAATTGAGTTTACGTTCCGAAATGAAACAGAAACTCCTTTAAAAACCTGTATAGATTTTACATCATCATGGGGCATAGGCATATATATAAAATAATATTTCAGTTATTTAGGAAAACACAAACTCCCAGATTTCATTACTAATTGGGAGACAGTGAACATTATCATTCTGTATGACAAGCAGCAATGAGAGATACCATGTACCTTCATGTCTCAACAACTTACTGCTCTGCAGGTCAAGGGGAGTCCTGTCTTATCCTTCTCATCAGGGTCAACCATCCCAAATTTGACTGCCAATGTCCGTTTTGGGTCAGAGATGATTGGGAAGGCAAGGTCTGAAGCTGTATCACCATCCTTGCAGTATCCTAACACATCCTGGTCGTGTAAAAAAGGAGTAAAATATCAGTACTATTTAATTGCTATATGATCATATTTCATTGATTTGAGTCATACATCTTGCAGCATCCTACATCACAGTAGTCTTATTTAAAAGGACATCATAACACTTCTTTTTCTATGTTAAGGCACTACCTTAGTAAACTACTTACAAAAGTAACCAACCCTTAGACACATATCCCTCAGACTGACAGATTACTGACAACACCTTAAGTACACTTTGCCTCAAAAGTCAAGAATGACTGTTACAAAAAAAAACCCTACTAACAAATACATTCATTAATCTGTTTTTTTATATTTATAATAACAGTGACCTTGACCTTAGAACTTACGATATAAAAAGCAATATCCCAAGTGTCGCAAATCCAAGTGTGTGGTAACATATTTTTTGTAAGGAAATGGATCACGTGAGCGTATGTGTGAATGCGTGAGTGAGTATGGGTGGTGTGTGACCGGGAAGGTTGTGTATGGTACCAGTTTACCTGTGTTCAGGTCAGTTTTGTTGACCATAGTATGTTATAGAACAGAGCCCAGAACACTGACTGGGCTTTACATGATAAGCAGATGACATAAGCATCACCTAGAGCCAGCAAAAAGGTGACTAACAGACCTTCATCAAGTGGCCTCAGGACCGACCAGCACTATATGTCGTCGGGGTCAAAGTCAGCCAATATAAGAAATGTCACACTCAAAGGCAGGCTACATGGAGAGCCCTGGAGTGTACCAAGCTTCTGGTTTGATGGCCAGGGTTATTGGACCGAGGTTGTTACCCTCATCACCTGAGGATTTTACCTTCTTGTACTGTGTATACTGCTAGCACGGTCTGTGCTACTGGAGATATATCAATTATTCACTGTCAACGTATGCTGTTAGTGAAGTATTACAACAACCCATCTATCTGTGAACAGATTGTAGGATCTACCATTACTAGTAGAGATAAGTAACTGAATTATAGCGAGTGTGAGAGCGAGTGTGAACTGGTCAGTATTTAGGTCTATTTAATGTAAATAACTTTGTATATATACATGTAATTATTCTGGTTTTCCTGGGTTTTTTCCCTCGAATGCTAAACCGAGACTCGTTCCGTGTTACACTAAGCAAGCACTTTTGGTAAGAATGCATTGTATGAAGTTTGATTCAGATGGGGCACAGCAAACTTAATTTTTCATTCAGAAACTAATTTTAACTTATAGTTACAGTAAAATATGGACCTGAATGGCAATCTCAAACAAGCACTTTTGGTTAAGAAGCATTGCATCAAGTCTGAGTTAGATTGGCTATAGCAAACTCAAGTTATTCCACATACCGGTAATGGATTTTCAATTATTGCAACAATAACCTCAGACTTTGACTTCTGGGCCTGAAAAGTAATCCCTAGTATACACTGTCAGTAAGAAAACATTGTATGAAGTTTGAGATTGATTGGCCAAAGGGAACCCAAGTCATATCACAGAAATCAATTTCCTACTTAGAGTAACAGTAATCTGGACCATTGACCCTGGGACCTGAAAAGCAATCCAAAGCAAGCCATTTTTGTAAGGCAGCATTGTATGAGGTTTGAGTTTGATTGGCCAAAGAAAACTCTAGTTTTCAAATCAAAACTGACCTTTTATCTATAGTAACAGTGAACTTTTGACCTTTGAAGATGAAAAGCTATCCTATACAAGCATTTTCGCAAAGGAAGTACTGAATGAAGTTTATACTTGATTGGCTCAAAGAAACTCAAGTTATCACAAAGAAACAAAAGTACTGATGGACTGGTGAACAGATGGACACCTTGGTTACTTTCGTGCAGGGCCATAATTATTTTTTGGTATGGCTTAATATGTAATCAGCTTATTCTCAAACTCTGTAAGAGTAGCATATAAGCTCTTCACACAAAAAGAAAAGAAACAAGAGGCTCATGGGCCTTAACGGTCATTTGACTTTAAAGAACCATATATGGAAGAGGCGAAATAGGCCTAAAATAAATTGCTCATCTACTCTACAGCTTACATAGAATACATTGCTGGTTCATCAAGACATTTTCTACAAACATGAAATCATATTTCTTTATACATGCACTACACAATTGCCATAGTTGAAAAAGCAAGCTACAGGCACAATATCAAGGCCCTTGGCCTTTCGGTTATTGAGAAGAAGTTGCTTAAGCACTTCAACACATATGACACATGTGCCTCGATCATTGATCCAATATCAGCACCCTTCAACACATATGACACATGTGCCTCGATCATTGATCCAATATCAGCACCCTGGTTCTTATAGTTATTGAGAAGAAGTCCTTTGAAAATTCAAACTTATTAGATCCCTTTGACCTTTCAAGAGGATCCAGGTCAATCCCATTAACTAGAGGTCAAATTTCTGAATTTAAGAAATTATTCTCCACTCCACCAAATCTGGTTGAAATCCATTCAAGCATTAAGAAAGAGTAGCATTTTGAAGCAAAATATTGCCTAATTTCTCCTTTTGGGCCCACCCCGAAATCTGTAGGGGTCAAATCAACTTTCTGAATTTATGGAAAGATTCCCTATCTCAATGATGTTTCAGACAAAATTTGGTTGAAATCCATTCAAGCATAAAAAAGTAGCATTTTCAAGCAAAATATTGTCTTATTTCCCCCATTTGTGGCCCCACCTCCAAGTCCCTAAGGGTTGATTATAATTTCTGAATTTAAGAAATAATTGCCTACCCTAACTGATGAAGCAGGCCAAAGCTTGTTGAAATCCATCAAGCAGAAAGGAGGAGTAGGCTTTTAAATCTAATTTCAGCGCCTGCCCCTTTGGGACCTTGTTCCTGCACCCCTAGGGGAATTTATAGATTTATGAAATGGTAAATTAACCTCATCCAATGATGCATCAGACCAAATTTGGTAGAAACCCTTTGAGTCTGATGACGTGATAAATAAAATCATATCCAAGTAAGATAGCAATAGTTAGTAATCAGTCTTCTGTCACAGGTCAGTTCAGTAGGATGTGGAGATTAATCAAATCTGTTACCTTTAACTGAGAAGGATGGGGGTATCTCAGTCGAGGGCTAAGATCCTGTAACATAATCCCAACCAAGACGTTAGCCGAGGTTAGGATGTTACAGGATCTTAGTCCAAGATAAAACAGATAACATAAAGCAGATTGTAAATTTTGAACCGATTTCTATATATATACATTCCGACACGAGGATGAATACATTAATGTGTTACAAATTCCACAAAACTGCATGTATGGGTTCTAGGCCTGAGATTGGGTGAGATATCCCTACCTGAGGTGTGAGAAAACCCAATCACTAACATCTCACAAAACAAACTACATGTATACCTTTTTCCAAGCATGGTGCGATTCAGTATCATCGCAGGACAGAGCGATGAGTTTCACCTTTCGTTTCGTGAACTCTGGTACCAGTTTTTGGACAGTAGCAAGCTCTGTTGTACACACTGGTGTAAAATCAGCCGGGTGGGAAAACAAAATGGCCCATCTGTAGTATATAACATAAGGAAGAAGACAATTATTCTCTGAAGTAAGTTCATAATTCTAAAATTCTGAAAATAAACAGGTTTCAAAAATCAGAACTGGTTTTGTAAACAAAGTCATTGATACCTTGCAAAGAAAATAATCTTTAAAATACGACAGTCTTGAAAGTGGGTCAGTCAAGTATATGAAATTAATTCAAGTCAAATTTAAAACATTTCTTTACTGACAAATTGAAACAAGTTAGTGCCAGCGTTGAATCTTTATATATTACAGACTTGTAAAGTTAAACAAAAGGATTGAGATTTTTACTGTAAAAAATTCTCAAAAATTTGTAACACTTGTTCTGCTGCTCAAAACACCTTGAAAATTAACAACAAAAAGTTTAAACAGTTACATTAAAATGTTAACTCTTGATTCTTACATGGGCTTACATGATGATATAAAAAGGGTGACATTGTCAGTAGACTTTCAGATGCTTCCCTAATTGTATGGACATGACAGAATATTTATCTCTGCTAAGACAACAAGCCAGGACACAACTATACCTTGACTTTGGTTTATCTTATGTCTATAAGATGTGATACGTGATTTGTTCTAGACGTGAGTAAACATCACCATATCATCAAACATTTACATACCTCAAAATCAACTGTAAAGTACCTGAGGTTTACAAGAAGTATTTAGAGAATAAAATTGTTTGTTAAATATCACACAAAGAAATCAGTGAATGACTTAAGGTCTTCTTAGGCTTCAACACTAGAGTGTGGTTATTTACATTTTCATACCTTGAAATCAAGCATCAAGTATTTCACCTGCATTAAAGAATAAAGCTTTATTTAGCACACATATCATATGAAGAAATCAGTGAATTAAAAAGTTATTTTATCTTTTCAAGAATGCTCATATCAAATTTTCTTTAATAGTTAAAGACATATAATGTATTTCTCTAGCAAAAAGGGTCAGCTGTGCTAAGGTAATAATGTTTACTACTGGCAATTAAGTCTAGGAGATATCTGGTTTTATATTACTGGATAATGACAAAATATCTGTTGAGATATATTGGGTTGGCTTGTTACTAGACATGGACTTATATCAATGCCTTTTAAATATGATACAAGAAGTAAACATTTGACAGGAGTCTACTATTATCAGTTACCTGTAAATCCAGTTTTACTACCGAATTAGAATACAATCATTATATTTTAATCTTTCATGAGGAAAATTTAAAATTTGACCTCATAAGTAAACCAGTACCTATCCATGAAATGACAACATTTTGAAAGGTAAGATAAATATTCAGTGAAAATTACATCCCTTAACAGTGCAAATTTTATAGCCTGTAAGGTTGATATTAAAACTCACCAAACCGTGGAATTGAAACACATTATTTTTAAAACATTCTATTCACTATGTTTCAGTACAATAAAACATCTCTTAGCAGCAACCACTGAGAAGTTCACAGATTTTAAGTCACATGAATGAATAAAGATGACAGAAATAAATTACTTTTGAAGAATCAATCTTTAACCAGATCATCTGGCTCTGAAGTTTTATACTGTTAACAATCACAATCTCATTACAAGATGCATTAATATGAAAAACTGACCTTGACATCTGACCCAGTATTAACCTTGACCTGTAAGTAGGTAACCTCTCATTTGATTTTTAAGATGTTCCTTGATTATATAATGACATATCAAAACACTTTTTATTTCAAAGGCAATATATACATATTTGATAAATACTTACATGGATTGAAAGTCACAATCACATATAATTACAGAGCAATCAGTAATATCTGTGAGAGATTTTGTTTGTTCTTTATACTTTGTAGGTAGGTTACAGACTGAAGTTTAACACTATACTAAAGTTTTTAACTTAGGTGATATTTTACCTTCCTTGAAGTGAAGATCAGTAAACAAAGTGAAGATCAGTAAACAAACCTAATTCGAAACCTGCAGGAATGGTAAGAGTAGAAGAGGATGTAGAGGGAGGAGGTGACCTATAATGGCCATGGAAAAATAAACAATATTTTCAATAATAGCATCCCTTTGTTTAAACACATATTTCAAGCTATGCCATGGAATTTATCACATTCCCCCTACTCTAGTTTAAAGCTTGTAGGGAGAGGGAAGTAGACACTGATACCACCTTAACTGAACAAGTATGAAACTTTATCCCCTTCTGGCTGAGAAACTGCCACCAACAATAACAAGATTGACAATAGGTGACAAGGATATACCAGGTACAACCCTAGCCTAAAATTCTGGTTAATGTATGCATGTCCTCTAGCCTATAATTGTTAGGGTACTTTCCCTGTGCAGCTTATATTCCCATACTACCATATACTCCCTATTTAACATAAATTTTCTCTTAGAATTTCCCCCTTTTCAACAGAAAATATATTTAGGTTTTCAGTTTGATTGCTTTTGAATAGAATTTGATATATTTTGTATATTTTCTGTTTTGTGAAGAATGTTACATTATTCTAAAGTTGTTTGAACAGTCAATCACAAAGTGCTGAATGACTGTAAATTATTTTCAGCTATGGAGGCTTCCTCCTGTTGCACTTTGGATCCCAAGATATTTTCTCCTATTCACAAACAGGGCACCCTTTATCCCAGATTGATCCCTGTGCAGTATGTACCTTCAAACATGCACAGTACTACTGTATCATGGTTTTTTAATTTTTCTAGGCTAGTAGTTCACAGGTTTTAAATTTCAGGCATATCTGCGAACAGTGTCAATGTCCTCAAACAAAGCAGGTACTGCATGTCCTGAGATTTTCGTTCACTTTAGGAATGTCAGCTGGGTAGCTTCTTCTTTATACTTTGTAGGTAGGTTACAGATTGAAGTGTAACACTATACTAAAGTTTTTCAACTTATGTAACATCTGACCTTCCTTGAAGTGAAGATTGGTTAGCAAACTAAATTCAAAACCTGCAGGAATGGCTGTATCATTGTTTTTTAATTTTTCTAGGCTAGTAGTTCACAGGTTTTAAATTTCAGGCATATCTGCGAACAGTGTCAATGTCCTCAAACAAAGCAGGTACTGCATGTCCTGAGATTTTCGTTCACTTTAGGAATGTCAGCTGGGTTATTACACCATATCTTTATTAAGCATGAACATGTTGAAATTAAATATCTCATGAAATTACAAACTATTCAGTGTATCAAAACATAATTTAAATAGAGATTAATTACCATCCAAAATATCAGAATTACCCATGCCTATTGACATCTGGCGAGTATTCATATATACCAACAGTCCCCCATTGGAATTTCCTATATCTGAAAGAAAAATGTATGAGCTTGCCAGCCGAACACCATGGGTTTTCTCCAGATACACATATCAAGTTTTCTCCTAAAGAAACCTTTTTTGTATGCTAAGTACTAAGCTTAAGAGATGGCTGCCAAACCTTTTTAGTCCAACTTAATCTGATGATCTATCAACTTTTTTTATACCAGTCTGGAATGAATGTCAGAACTCAGTCCCTATTAAAAGAGACAGAAATAGGTGACCTGTGACGTGGTTTAAACGGTAACTGTAAAAAAGAAAATATCGTTTTAACATGCATCAACCCCAGATTAGTAAAAAGACCTATATAAGAAAGTGGCAAAATAGGCCTTAAATAAATTGCTCAACTACTCTACAGTTTACATAGAAGACATTGTTGCTTCATCAAGACATTTTCAAAAAAAAACTTAAAATCATATTCTTTATATATGCACTATATAACTGCCATTACTCCTGACTCTTGTTGAAAAAGCAAGCTACAGGCCTAATATCAAAACCCTTGGCCTTTCGGTGATTGAGAAGAATTTGCTTAAGCATTTCAAGACATTGGACCTCTGTGACCTTAAAAGTTGGTCCAATATGAGCAACCTGGGCCTTTTGGTTATTGAGAAGTCATTTAAACTTTTTAACACATTTGATACCTGTGACCTTGAAATTGGATCAATGCCATACATATTAACAAACTACGTAGCCCTTTATCCTAGCATGCTACAGGCCTGATATTTTCATCCTGGGCCTTTCGGTTCTTGAGAAGAAGTTGCTTAAGCATTTCAATACATTTGATCCCTGTGACGTTTTGAGCAAATCAAAGTCATACTAACTGTGTGTTGAATTAATTTTCTGAAATTCAGAAATAATTCTCCACTCTCATTGTTTCACACCAAATCTGGTTGAAATCCATTCAAGCATTAAGAAAGAGTAGCATTCTGAAACAAAATATTGATTAACTTTCCCAATTGGGGCCTTGCCCACTCCCAGGTCTCTAGGGGTCAAAACAATCTCCTGAATTTAAGAAATGATTTTCCACTTTCAATGATATTTCGGACCTATTTTGGTAAAAACCCATTCAAGCATGAAAAAAGCAGCAGTTTAAAGCAAAATATTGTCTTATTTTCCCTTCCAAAACAACTTTCAAATGCACAAAAATTTAAAGCAATATTACAGGGATAAGGTTTCTTTACTGTAAAGCTGATTTAAAGTACTGTTCACTCTGCTTTTAGATGAACAAAAGCTATTAGATTATTTGCTTTGAAATAGTTGTTTAAAAAATTAAGTTTATAGTTTAAATCTTAATGTTACTTCAAGGGCCAATTGTTGTTCATTTGTCCACAAATGGAAATCAGTAAGGATATACTGTGATGGACAACCTTGGACAAACTCCTAGTGTATATACATAGTAGTTGGTTTAAGTTGATATTCTAAAATTATCAGGTATATGATAAAGCTAACAGGTACAATGTAGATAAGCCAGAAGTTTGTCAAACCCCAAATGACCTTTCAACCTTTGTCACAATTTATCTCTGACAACCTGTACCCCAGCTCTCAAATATCTTAAAACTACAAATCTGACTTGCCATCTAGTTTTGTCATGTGACAATGAGCCAGGACATACAGAAACTTTATAACAAGCCACTGGCTGTTTATCTCAGTCGTTTCTCCAATACATGTACAAACATAATCAGTTACTTACAGCTAGAAATAGGCAGGTAATTTACATATTACAATCCTTTGCTTTGCACGCTTCACACAAAGGTTTCATTTTCTGTGTTCCTGATACTAAAGATCTATCTCAAACATATACAGGTATGAAAATTAGACAGATCTACTTTGAATATATACCAGTAATGAACTCTGTTTCTTTTGAAAATTTTGTCAAAAAGTAAATAAAATTATCAAAAATTACCTCCTTTTTCTGTCATCCTATCAGAGAAAAACGAATATGCTTACACAAAAGTGTTAAGGTAGGAATGTAAGCCCAGTATGAGACCTTTCTACCATTAGCTTGTATTTGTTCACTGGATTCTGAAGTCATTGAAGTCCTTTCTCAACCACAGTAATCGTTATCTAGTACAATCTTATCTACCCTATATTTCATAGTTAATGTTGACTTAACACTGACCAGTCTCACCAGTCATTATGTGCGCCAGTGAGAAGTGAATCTCATTTATGTAACAAAAATAATACTAATAGATTAAAGGATAAAAAAACACAAGTCAAACGGAAAAAAATACTCTGCTTTTTATCTAAAGATAATTTTCTTCATATTTTTGGCTGAAAGTGGTTTACAATTTAGGCTGGTATTTTAAGCTGTAAATAGCTCAAACATGTATTTATTTCTGTTTTATAAATATCAGAAGTTAACAGAATATATTTGTTACAAAAGTTAGCACAATCAATTTGACAATTACTAAGTTTCATCCTCAAGGTGTCACACATGGAACCTTAAATTCTGCCATGACATGTTCCAGGGGTGCAGAGACCAAAACTGATTGTAACCCCTCGAGTATTTGAGGATGACTAATCAAGAAATCTTTACTTGTATTAGGGTCTAGGATAAGGAATTAGACTGACCATAACTACCTAGGCTAAATAGTCTGAATCCTTGAAAAGTGTCATACAATGATATGTCTATGTTTTTTAACAAGTCTACCAACGTTCAATTATAATCACGTTAATATTGCGATAACTGTAATCATGCACTTTAATACATGGGATGATTGATATAATCTGAAATGTCACGTTCTCAATACATTTAGAGCTATGAGAGGTGTTCTAATGAATCAGTGCATAAAATAAGGCTGTTATAGCCACTATCGGCTATGCACCATGCACACTATGAATACGTCTAGATAATTTTGTATGTGGATATATCTCTACATCTACCCGACAATCGACCTCCTTCAACATTTCCACATACTGAAGATTGTTTCGATGTAAATGTTGTGAGTAATATACATGGTGGGGGGAGGGGTTGGAGGAAATTGAAGAAAAAAACAACATGTCATTTAACAGAAGTTAGGTGGTTGTTTTTTTAAGTTTTTCAAAGTTGGCTGTGAGAAGATCTGGTAAAAATATGTTCCATGAAATAGTGAAAATGTATCTGGATTTAATTTAACAAGGTATAACATCGCCTGTGAAAAATAAATACGTGTGTAAATATTATATGCTTTATGCAATACGACTGAATCTCCGTGTAACGTGCCAATTTTGCACGTACTTCGATTTAGGTCAATTTAAATACCGTTATAAAACGAAAAGGACACCTACAGCATTATTGGTGCACAAGAAGAGAATGTGACAAAATCAGTATCAATTTACAAAATTATTGCCATGATTTAATGCAATAACGGGCAATCCAAAAAGACATTCTAATAAGGCCTACAAGCTTTAAAAGTTTATATCGTTGACATGTACGGGATACCTTTGTGAGCGAGACGCACCTGTCCTCAACTTAGTTATTCTACTCAATAAAACAACACTTACGATTCAGCTAACCACTCATGGAAAGATATTTCCCCTGCAGTCGTATCGGCAGTAAAGTTAGGAAAAATGTCTCCGAGATTCACCATCGTGAAGCGTGTTGATCTTCGACTTCTCGTTCAGATGTGTAAGGTGTGCTGTACGTCACGCACGCCACGCCTCCGCCTGACTCTCAACTGACCTGCTCAACCGGATATACAATCGTGATAGAAGCAGCCTATGCATTTTTAACGCGCCAACATTTGAAACTAACGATCCAAACATAGTATAAGTGGGCTAACTACTTTGTACACTTAAGTCATTTATAGCACAATTTACAAGACGAATACCACGTCGGAGGTGATTCGAAATTTAAGGGCATGTTCTCATTATCACGATTTTCGAAGATGTTTACCGACAAACTTGAAACAAGGTTTCGGAAGGTGCATAGTGATGAACTTTATGGGGAAGTTTTACGGTCGTCATAGTGACCTTAATGATTTTTTTTCTTATTTCTTTATGCCATTTTAAGCCTGCATATCACTTGTATGTAGAGGAGTCAGTGATAAAATGTTTTGCTGATTTCATTCGTGGCAGACATATTTCCAGATATATTTTGCTTTTGAAGTTATTAAGTTGCACGATATTCTGAGACAGAAAAAAACACCCCACATCGGCCTAAATGCGTTTTCGGCTAGGCATGCACTTAAAATCATTTTTGAATGTACATCCACTTATCATCACTTTATATTCAATATTCATCATTGCCTCTGTCGCAAAAATTATATCCTCACTATCGTTCATTTTATTTCGCTGTGCGCGACCCTCGGTATGGGTAGATATGTACACCACCATATTTGGTATTGATTGGTTAGTTGGTTGATTATAAGGTTTTCGTCTCGTTGACTCGTCCTTCTCTAGGCGTTGTCTCGCCGACGAACCTCAGTGTTCTGGCCATAGATATCTTATCCTAGATGTCGCGCGACGGCGCCTGTGACGTGTCTAGCGGTCCGCCATCTTGGGAAGGTATTGTACAAGTTGTCAAGTTACTACCATGTACAAATTGATCTACAGAATGTGTGCTTTATCCGATTTACCTTTGTATGATAGGGTCTATTCATTTTGATTTGTAAACGCATATATAGTTCTGAGTAGTAGATTGTAACAGGCAGAGTTTCAAGTAATGATGAAAGGGTTTTTTGAACTACTATCATTAAGTATTTGAGCAGCTATACTAAGATATGGTCATTCGCCTGATGTAAGGAGTAGTTTTTTTTTTATTTTGCTGTAACATGCTGTTGTGCACTGACGTGTGCAAAGTAGTGTGATTGATTAGTTACCTTTTGTGTTTGACAGTAGTTTCATTTTGGTCACAAAATAATCAGTTAGCCTATAAATTGTACAATACATAATTATCTTGGGCTTATTAGTGATGAATACAGAACATGTAGACAGAAGACATGATTTGTTGACTGGTTTATGGTATCAGTTCTGCATATGAAGAGAGTGTATACTTTGTATTTGACTGGTGCAACATGGGGCATAAGATAAAATAGTTTGCGCTTCAAGCAAGGTCACACTGTACTTGTTTTCATTATTGTCATGAATGATGTGATTGTTGTTGCATCCATTTTTCAAACAGTTATTGGATTATAGGTTTTTACCTTCTCTACACATGTATGTGAATGTTCAATGTGAAGGCAAACAACATACTGCACTTCATTAGAATCGCCTGTAAGCGAGATCCGATTGTATATTACCTTACATTGTTTGGCTGTGGTCTCCTCATTCATAATGCACCAACATTCAAGAAAGTAGCCAGCGGGATTATATTATTTATAAATTACTTATATAAATATCAAGGCATACTTTTATTGTGCACCCGATTTTCTTGTGTCATTTTGCAGATTCACCCTGCATATTGTTATGTATTAAAATATGAGTGAAATTGTCTCTTAGTTTCATGTTTTTACTAAGACTCCCACAGTCACACTGCATGTGTGATCATGGACGCGGTGGAATCTTCCTGAACGCAAGATTACATGGACAGACTTGTGGAAAATGGAACCTCTCAGGATATCCTTCATGCTCATGTCTGTGTATGACACACTGCCATCTCCAATCAACTTGTGTAGGTGGGGCCTTCTGGAAGATCCAGCTTGTTCCTTGTGCGGTGGAAGAGGTACACTTGCACATATCCTATCAGGCTGTAGAGTAGCCCTCCAGCAGGGATGGTACAGATGACGTTATGACCAGGTTCTAGCTGCCCTAGCAGATATTCTGGAAAAGGAGCGGCGTCAGAAGAGGTCACTGATAGAACCTCATAAACCTCGCATACAGATTGTGAGAGCTGGAGAGAAGGGACCACCAACTGCTACTGCATATCGTGTGAATGTACTCAGCCAAGCACCATCCTGGGAAATGAGAGTAGACCTCAACAAGCGTATCGTCTTTCCTGATGTAGTGCATACCACTCTGAGACGAGACATTGTGATGTGGTCGCAACAGCTCCAGAAGGTCATCTTGGTGGAGCTGACAGTTCCATGGGAAGAAGGGTGTGATGAGGCACATGAGAAGAAAGCTGGCAAATACCAAGAGCTAGCAGAGCTGTGTAGACATAAGGGATGGAACACATGGCTGTTTCCAGTAGAGGTCGGTGCCAGAGGATTTCCTGCACAATCAGTATGGAAGATGTTCCAGAAAGTGGGACTGACAGGAGCAAAGAGGAAAGCAGCTATTAAGACCTTGGCTGAAAGGGCTGAGAGAGCATCATGCTGGCTACGGTGTAGACGAGGTGAGCAAAACTGCAGTCCAGATCACCACTGCTGACCGTCAACCAGAGGACGTCGTGGAATAGGGGTCGAAACGGCCGATAATGGTTGGAATCCACCTGACGATGCTGACAACAGAAGGCTCCAGAGCTCCATGTCATCAGTGCCTAACCGAAGCAGCGGTTGGGTTACCAGTAGCAGAGAAATATGTAAGTTCACATTGACTATATATATTATTAATTAGTGCATCTCATGGTCAGAGGCTGTTAGCTGCTGTGTGGTACTTTGCATTCTGTGTTCTGCATGCTGATATAACCTTTAGTAGATTGGCAATATGCATTCACACATATTATTCACTCTACAAATTAAGAAAGTAAATCCTAGGAATATTGTTCCTTACCCCTACCCCAACTTGAAATGAGGTCCAGCAAATCATGAAGTCGCATGAATGACACTGATATATAATTAATTGCACTTTGATATGTAAGCCATTAAAAATTAATTAATTTTGGGATGAGTACCTGTTCAAGGACCAGGTCCATAGATCCACATGTTCGCTTTTATATAACTTTTTTCATTGCCACAATCAAGTTATTTATTACTATTTAAAAAAAGGACGAATTTGAATAAAATTCTATTTATTATTTAATTGTTCTATTTATTGTTTTTCTTTTTTTTTCTTTTTATTTTGGTGGGGTGGGTTATTATTTCTCAGTTTATTGTTAAAATTGTCCTCTGCAAAATAAATGAATACTTTATTTAAATGATTTTTACATTTTAAATATTTAATTATATAAGTACAAGAGAAGGTAAAAAAATTGGGTTGGTGCTGGAATTAATGATTTATTGTGATTTATTAAACATTTGTCAATTGTTGGGTCTTGGTGACAAGTTTAAACGTACATATGTTTTGACTTATCACAGAGATAAGCAATACAATATATGCTGTCTTTAAGACACTCATTTTACTGAGAAAAATGTTTTACGGATTTAAAGCTGTTATTTTAATTCTTTTTAATAAACTCCAGGAGGTAGTAATATTCACCAATAATAAATTTGGATCTAGCAATTTGAGGCAATAAATTGACTTTAATTACATTACATTACATCCGACCTCAGGACTTTAACAATGATAGTTGTGTTATTTGCGGTGATTTCAATGTTATGCTCAACCTGATTTAGATTGTGATCAAAACTAGGAAAAATTATCCTTAATAATGATATTCTATACATTAACACTACTCGGGATAGACTTTATTATAGGCCTCTATAGAACACCTAATTTTTTTTTGTCTTTTTTTCCCTCATTTCCTAAGCCTATCTTTAACTTAAAAAATATGAAAAGTTCTAAGGCTATTGCGTGACTATCTTAATGTGTATGTTTTTATTTGTTATGGAAAGGACTAGGTAAGTTTATAACTTTTGTCCAATCCTGTTGTATTTTTGTTTGCAATAAAAGTTATTTAAACTAAACTAAACCTTAATTGAATTCTGATAAAAATATGACTTGTAAAAAATAGCAGACTTTTCTTTTTCTATCTTTTGTGGTGTTTTGTGATCTACACAGCACAATAGAAAATTATCTTCAATGTCATGGTTAGTAATAAGTGTAAAGAGTCATCGAAAACCAAAAAGAATTTGTCAAACATATTTTTTATATACCCAATTATATCGTTACATCTTGAAATAATGAGAAGAAAAAGAGATAAGATTTCTAAAGATTTGGCTTCAGGTCAACTTTATGCCCCGTCGGGTGACAGTTTATTGTTTTTATTTCCATTCTCAAATATCTATAAAAAGATCAAAACAAAAACCCAGGAAGACATCGTTTAAATTGCCCGCTTAACAAGTACTGACGGCAGCATTTTTTCAAATCCGGGAACAGCCGTAGTTTCTCGTGTCATCATAAATAGCAATTGATATTTATACTTCATTTTTTGCTCGTTTTAAATACAGCAGTTCATTCCGCATTGAAACGTTCTTTCTGAGTTTGGCTGAATGCCACTTGTCGGACAACCATTTCCAAAATGCCGTCGCTTAGAAACTCTTTCTAATGAGAACAGCACGGTTTGCTACGCGTTTCATTTCTTTTCTATTTTGATGTGAACATCTTAATACAATGTAGCGTGAATTTACACATGTAGATTCTCAATATTCGTGCTTGTTTAAACTCTCTATCTCTTCAATGTTCGTTGTGGTCACTACGCGTTTTATTTCTATTTGACTTGAACATCTTAATACAAAGTAGCGTGAATTTACACATGTAGGTTCTCAATATTCGCGCTTGTTTGTCTCTTATCTCTTCTTACCTTCGTTCATATCGTCGATTTTATGTGTTTTCAATATCTCCTACTGGAGGTAATAAACATTGACCATCATTCAGATTTCACGAAAA